CAACAATTATATACCCATACTATCTATTACAAACAACTAAAATTAAAATATTTATATTTCTACAGATTCACTACCGATCACATGACTTGTTTCTCCTTTTGGGAGTGCAAAGGAATCAGCTACATCCAAATGCATGAAGTCTAAATTATCTTCAGAAATAAAATTTGCTTCAGCATTTTTCTGTGTCTTCTTTAAGGAGGCTTGATAAAGCTCAACCAGGTGCTTTGGTGTACGACAATTACGTGACCAGTGCCCTTTTCCTCCTTATCTATAACATGCATTTTCTGCCTTTGCTTCTTGCTTCGGTTCATATTTTTGTTACTTTCTTTTCCACTGCTGGTGGTGAGGAGGGTTCTTTGGTGCATTATTATTACCATGGTTAGTGTTTCTTCCCCGACCACGACTGGGGCCACGTCCTCTTCCACGCTTAGCTTGGTAGAAGTTCGTCTCATTCACTTCAGAAAATTGACAAGAACCAATAGGTCGACTTTCATGGTTTTTCATTAATAGCCCATTATGTTGCTCGGCTACAAGAAGATGTGAGATAAGTTCAGAACACTTTTTGAATCCCATCTCTCGATATTGCTGCTGCAGGAGCATATTCAAGGCATGAAAAGTGATGAAAGTTTTCTCCAACATATCATGATCAATAATATTATCATCACATTATTTCAATTGGGAGATAATTCTGAACATAGCAGAATTATACTCACTGATAGATTTAAAATCTTATAGCCTTAGATAAGTCCAATCATAACGTGCCTGTGGAAGAACGACCATCTTCAGATGGTCATATCTATCTTTTAAATTATTCCACAATATGACTGGATCTTTAACAGTAAGATATTCCATTTTCAGGCTCTCATCAAGGTGATGGCGTAGGAATATCATTGCTTTGGCACGATCTTGGTTTGATGCCTGATTTTTATCTTTGATGGTGTCTGCCAGACCCATCACATCAAGATGAATTTCGGCATCAAGCACCCAAGACATGTAGCTTTTTTCCGATATATCCAGGGCTACAAATTCAAGTTTAGAAAGATTTGACATTATTTAGAAAAAGAAAGTTCGTACCTCTGATACTTTCAAAGTATTTTCTCGAGATGGCAAAGTCTCGTACTGATAACGCGTTATAAAATAAAGATTGTAAAGTAAAGACAAGTATAGAGAGAAACTGATATATTATTCAAATTTCAAACTTATGTACATAATGAACTAAAATCTCCTCTATTTATAGAAGAAAGGAAGCTGCTGTGTAAGCTACTACTGCAAGCTGTTGTGTAAGGTGCTTGTAAGTTATTTGTAAACTGCTACTGCAAACTGCTGTGTAAGCTGCTACTGCAAGCTGCTGTGCAAGCTGTTTGTAAGTTGCTTGTAAGCTGCTACTGTACCAGATATAGATAATCTTCTACCGGGGGTAATGTTTATCCATAACGGAGTACCAAAATGATAAGCTTCTTCAGGAGGCTTATTTTCAATAGAGTACTAAATAGATAAACATATTTACGGCGGAGTCTTATATGGATAAATTTCTTCAGGAAGCTTATTTATAACGAAATACTAAATAAATATCCATAATATAATATATTTATAATAACCCCGAAGTTTGTTACATGATTTAAACTTGGGCATGTTATTGGAATCACCAATCTATATTCACACTTGCAGTGCAAATAAGAATAGCCATTTTTTAGGATAATTTAGTATGGCGCAGCTAATTGTAATTAAACAGAAAGCATCGGCGTGGAAGCGACTTACTTTTAGTCAAAGCTAATGACCAAACACCCAAATATTAGTTTAGTATCACCAACTGCAAAGCAAAAAAGAGTATACACCACCTTTTATCTATGAAAATAGACTTGGTCAACAACTTAAGCACCAAATTTCAATTACTAGTGACTAGAGAATATTCACACTTTAATATCCCAGCGACCTTCTATTCAATTAGTACTATTCTTTTTTATACTTCTATTCAAGAAAGACGAGGACAAGGCCATAATGGGAATACTAACTAGATGCCACTCTCACCGAATCTCCGAAATCTAGGTAGTGTCTTAGGGAGTACAGGTTCAATTTAAGCTGATTGTATTTTTAAAAACATTAAATTAATTATGACATGAGCGATTTTGGTTTTGACGATTGACAAAGGAACACATGCATGAACTAGGTTCATGGACATTATACATAGGTGACACACAGTATCAAGTAAAAGGCATGCACAATTCCTCAACGAAAAGGTTGCCTATTTGATAAAGAGCAGTACTCCTTACACTACTAGAAATTCGGAAAATCGTCCAAAACAAACCGATCAAAGTAGGTCGGTAATGGCCAATAACCATCCAAAATGCGACCATTAACATGTGGTCGGTATTTTGAAGGTCGGAAGGGCATACCGACCAAAGTTGGTCGGAAATTGGTCGGTCAATTAAATTCAAAAATAAAAATTTGCCGAAAAAATCGACCAAAGTTGGTCGGTATTTTAATTATTATTATGCAATTAAAAAATACACCATCTGGGAATCGAACCAGGGTCTGTACTGTGACAGGACAATATTCTACCACTAGACCATTGATGCATTTTGTTTTAAAACTATCTTTTATTTCATTTATACTCTTTAATTGTATTTTCGCATGAAAATAACCGACCAATGTCGGTCGATTTTATTAAAAAATAAAATTACCGACCGAATTCTGTCGGTTTTTTTAAAATGACCAGCCGAATTAACCGACCAAAGCTGGTCGGTTTTTTAATATTAATTTTAATTTATTTTAAATGAAAAATCGGCCAAAGTTGGTCGGTTTCTTGAAAAATAAATTTTGCGGGATTCAAAAATAGTTTCCCGCATTTTTGCGCAAAAGAAAACCGACCAAAGTTGGTCGGTTTCTTGAAAAATAAATTTTGCGGGATTCAAAAATAGTTTCCCGCATTTTTGCGCAAAAGAAAACCGACCAAAGTTGGTCGGTTTCGTAAAATAAATTAACAAATAAAATATTTTGAAAAACCGACCAACTTTGGTCGGTTTTTTGGCCCTTTTTTTGACTGATCAATTTTGGTCGGTCGACCGCGATCGGTTTTTGTCGAATTTTCTAGTGGTGAAATTACTTGAAGAGAACTCTATTCAAGATAAGGGAAGAGTTAGAGGTTGAAGTTGACTAGAACTATTCCACCAAGGAAGAGTAAAACATTAGAACTCTAGTTAATCTTTATTTACTTTGTGTTCTCTTTTACAGGTGATTCACGCATACTGAAGTTTTAGGTGTATGATGAAAAAGGTAACTATATTAAAACAGTAAAGGGCTTCATATCAACAAAAGGGTATAAAACTCAAGCTATATAATTTTGGTTTTGGCATTCTACAAAAATTATGTATTAAAATATAAATACACATTCTAAAAAAACTATAAATAGATATAAATTATCTCAATATTTACAATTATTATAACCATGAACTCAACATCAAGTTCTAGAGATACCTTCAAAATATACTTACACTATGTTTGGATCATTGTTACCCATCGTTTTATAATATATTGTATTATACTGTATTGTATTGTACTGTATCGTTTTATGGATATAATATTTGAATAGATTGTATCGTTTGCTGTTGTTAAATAATATTTTTATTGTTTGGTTTAATTGTATCGTACTGTACTGCAACTGATAAGTTCACTAAAATACCACCAATTATTTTAAATAAAAATTATCAAGAATTACACATAAAAATAATTTAAGACAACCTCTTTTTACTAATTTATCATTAATTACGTAGCTTAAAAACAAGAGCCAAAACTTGAAAAAAAGAAGGTTAATTAATATTAGCAACAATTTTTTTTTTTTAAAAATGATACAAAAGAGATAAAGAATCGAATAGAGACTTGGATAAAAAGAAAGGGGTAAACTAACTTTAGAAAAGATGGAAGAAGACAAAGTAGGTCAATAAGTTGGAGATTTGGAGTTAAAATAAAAAAAATTAAATGATAAAATAGAATTATAGAGTAATAAGTAAGGACATAATTGGAAAAGAAAATAGGAAACGATCCCACCACACCAAATCGGTTGTTTCATAAAATGGAGCTTTTGGTTGTTCCGAAACAATGGATTTAACAATACGATACAATCAATTTTAAATAAACAATCCAAACAAATATTGTTTTGGGATAACAATACAATACGATACAATGGGTAACAACCATCCAAACAAGTTGTTAATAATTATGCGTCAATTATACTTATCATATTTATATAATTTTTAAAAGTTTATACTTATTGATACGGGTTACACACGCAAAGCGCGTACCCTAAGACTACTGTGTTTAAAATTCGGACCCAAAATAAAGTATTTAAATGAGAATTGGTATCAGAATTTAGGAGGTCATTTATCAATTTAGCCATTGCCAGAATTTTCTTGACCATTTTGTCCAGAATACTGATATTTATATATGAAAGTTACATCAACAATCCGTTTCAAAGATGCTTCAGAAAAGCAATAACTGCTTTCCATCTCACTATTGCAATTTGCAACTCCTTTGATTCTTTCTAATCCATTTCTTTACCTACAGAAAAGCATAATTAATAAGAATAACAAACTTTTAGACGCACTAACGTAATTTATAATTCCAGAAAACTCAACATGTGAAATTATGGTAACCTATTGTATTCACTAAATACCCTTTATGCTTAGAGAAAAATAGTACCATTATTTATTTTATCTGATTTAAAGCTATATGTTTCTTTCCTTTTCTCCTCATGCTCAATACTTTTTAGTTCAATAAGAATAGCATCAGAAAATAAAAACAAAGAGAAAGCAGAATTCCACTAGTTCAATACAAAATTTTATCACCAAATTTTCTTTTAAAAGATCTTATTTTTTTTCGTTTTATATAAGCATCTCAAAAGTAATTTAAGTAAAAAGTAAAGAAAACAACATTGGCGGGAAAGATTCGACTCTAACGGCAAGCAGGAAGCTGACAAAATAAAGAGATCGAAATGGGAGAATCAGAAAAATGATAGACGCGTCGTAATTATTTAATTGAAACGTTATACAATTTCTTCAACAATAATCCGATCACTTTCATATATACACATATAATTATAGATCTTCTCTTCATCTAACAAGTAACAACTCCTCAAAGTCGTCATCAACCAAAAAATTTCAGTCTTTTTTCAATTATATATTTAATAAAACTTCCTCTCTCCTTAGAAAAACACAAGATCAAGAATCACTGACTCATTATTACATTGTTACGATTTGTAGTCTTAGAGATATCATTTTTTAGATTGATTTGGGAAATGGGAAGTTATAATTATTACAGAATGTTTGGGTGTTTTAACCGGAAATTCAAGATCAGGGAGACGGAGCCGCCGCCGGAGGTGAGGGAAGCGTTTTCACGGTACACCGGAAGAGGAACCCACATGAACGCCGATCAGCTTCTCCGTTTTCTGGTGGAGGTTCAAGGAGAGGAAGGTGCTACCGTTAAAGATGCGGAGCAAATTATACAGCAAGTTGTTAATCGCCGGCACCATTTGATCAGGCGGCTTAATCATTCACTTGAACTCGAAGATTTCTTTTATTTTCTTTTTCAGGATGATCTCAATGGACCCATCAAATCTCAGGTATTTGTTACGTTACCATACCCAATTACTTATGCACTTACATTGGGGGAAAAAGAATTTTGTGGACCATATTAAGTTCATTCAATAGCTAGAGTTACAATAAAACAATAGTAGCAGTTTTTTTTGCATATACTGTTCAACTAAAATTGGAAATTTTGTTTAGCTGCAATTTTTCACTTTTCTGTTATAGTCTCGTTAGAGATTTATGCGTTAGTAGAAAATGTAGAGAAGCTAGGTAATTTTGTTTTAAGTTATATTGGACTAAGATTGACGAGCTAAAATGAAGCAATATGGACAGAAATGATTCATATAACCGACCCCAATTGCGGGGATTGAGGAGTTGTTGTTGTTGGGAGAGAGAGCAGACTAAACTTCTAGAGATGGTCTAGATTAATCAATGCAATGGAAGGTTGTTAAGAATGGAGCTGAATTATTTTGGTTTTCTCCTTCAAGACTTGAGCTTTTTAAGGTTAAGCATTGAAAAGGTTAAACTTTTAAGTGTTAAGGATTGTACTGTGTTTCCCATTGAAAATTAATGATAGCCTCCTCTTTACTCATGAACTATTTATTGTGCATGGTTAGTGTATGTTCAAGTTTTAATTTTCTTTGTGTAATATATATGTATGTGTGACAGTACCTTTAAATTTGCTTTAACAATTTGTCATTTCAGGTACACCATGATATGAGTGCTCCATTGCAACATTATTTCATCTATACAGGTCACAACTCCTATCTAACAGGAAACCAACTTAGTAGCGACTGTAGTGAAATTCCAATAGTTAAAGCTTTGGAAAGAGGTGTCCGCGGTATTGAACTGGACTTATGGCCAAATTCAGCAAAAGATAATATTCATGTTCTTCATGGAAGGTACAATATATGCTCCTTGATTCATAGTGTAATTGTATTCATCCTTTTTTCATTAATTAAGAGACGGTAGTTTAGTAAAACTTCCAAAGGTACTTACAAACATTCAACATACCCTTGCATTAATAGCTGTAATAATAAGTTGAAGAAGAATAAATCTGCAATATCGCTTGTACTGTTCAAAGTAACTTAACATATATATGTGCTGCCTCTTATGCTCTCTGATGTCCAATGTCTGAAGTTCTGAAATTTTACTTCAATTGATACAGGTTACCTTTAATTTTGTTGAATGATTCCAATTATTACCATTTTGCAGGACCCTGACCACACCAGTGCCACTTCTTAAATGCTTAAAGGCCATTAGAGACCATGCTTTTGTTAAATCGCCTTATCCTGTCATAATCACGTTGGAAGACCACCTGACACCGGACCTTCAAGCTAAAGTTGCAGAGGTTAGAATCCATTTCCCTTTTGTGGATAACAGCTTGAAATATTACGTGTGTCTTTTTAATCTAAGCTTTAACTCCTTTCCTTACTCTTGGGGTTCCCTTTGTTTCTCTAGATGGTTACCCAAACCTTTGGAGAAATGCTATATTATCCTCAGTCAGAGTGCTTAGAGGAATTTCCTTCACCTGAACGGCTTAAGAATCGGATTATTCTCTCTACAAAACCACCTAAAGAGTACCTTGAGTCAAAGCATCAGAGAGACACATCTCCAGTGGGAAAAGATTCATTTCGAGAGGATGCTATGAAGAAGGAGAAATCAGATTTTGGCACCGAGGATCAGGACACTGATGAAAGGGTAAAATGACATTAAACAGTCTCTTGATTTTCTTATTGTAGGGATGCTAATTCTGCTTTTATGGTGCCATTTCATCTGGACGATAGAGTGATAGTGATCAAGATGATGAAGACGGTGATACCTCCGTCGACCAACAATCATACCAACCAGGAGCACCTCAGTACAAGAGTCTGATAGCAGTTCATGCTGGGAAGGCAAAATATGGTTTGAAACGTGCACTAAGGGAGGGAAGTAATAAAGTCAGTCGACTTAGTTTGAGTGAACAAGAACTCGAAAGAGCGGCAGAAAATTATGGAACAGATTTGGTCAGGTACTCCACAATTTTGTGCCATATAAAATTGAACAATTGATGAGAATGCTCTGGTTATTCTTGATTCAGTTTTCCATTTCATTTGCTAGGTTCACCCAAAAGAATATTGCAAGGGTGTACCCTAAGGGAACAAGAGTAACCTCCACAAATTTCAAGCCTATGACTGGCTGGATGCATGGAGCGCAGATGGTAGCATTTAACATGCAGGTTTGTTTGAACTTCTGAATGCTGGTGCATCAACATGTTATATCTGTTCTATGCCTTACATTGACTTTTTTGATTGCTTCTCCATTTCTCTGCGACCCATAGAAACTTCACTTTTTAAAGAACGTAACATGCCAGTGATTATGATATATGGGGTAATAGATAACTGCTTCAATGAGATCTCCTGATTTAATCCTTATACTCAACTTGGTTCTATTTCAGCTGTGGAGGTCGAGCATTAAGGTCGTAGGTTAGGAGGTAGGAGGTTAGTCTGATAGTGTTTTGTCTTAGGCTGCTAGTAGCTTCAGTTGTGTCCATATTACTTCATTAGGGTTGCAGGTTAGGTTGTAGGAGGCTAGTCTGATAATGTTTTGTCTTAGGATGCTAGTGCTTCTTGTTGTGTTCTTATTACTTCCATTGTGTCTGTAGTACTGTGCCATTGTTACTGCTTATTGTTATTGCTTTTCTTTCTATTTTCTGGTTATTACGTTGCTGGTGTTATTTTTCTGGCTTTCTTTGATGTTACCGCTCCTATGTCTCTTTCCATTTTCGTGAACCGAGGGTCTATCGGAAACAGTCTCTCTATTCCTCTGGAGTAGGGGTAAGACCCGCGTACACACTACTCTCCCCAGACCCCACTTGTGTGGTTCCACTGGGCTGTTGGTTGTTGTTGTTGTTGGTTCTATATCAGCTGTCTAATTGTTATATTAACTGCACAAAATAGGGATATGGAAAATCACTCTGGATGATGCATGGGATGTTTAGGTCTAATGGAAGCTGTGGCTATGTGAGAAAGCCTCGCTTTCTCATGGAAAAAGGCCCACACAATGAGGTATTTGATCCCAAAGTGAAATTGCCAGTGAAGAAAACTTTACAGGTAAGCAAAACATGTTTTAATGTGGAGAGAATATCAAACTTCAAGATAGTATGATGGTCTTGTTGAAGAAGTGTAACACTTTTTTTGTTTATTTTCTGCAGGTCAGAGTATATATGGGAGATGGATGGCGCTTAGATTTCAGCCATACACATTTTGATGCCTATTCGCCTCCAGACTTTTACACCAAGGTTAGTGAGGATGATGGTTCCCGACTTACTTGCCTACCTAAATTAACACACTCCTTGCCAGACCATGCATTGAGAGGCTAGATGTTATTTAAATCTAATTCAATCTTCCCATTGACTTCATAGAAATGATATGGAAATGTATGGAGTTGTCGCCTTCAGGAATAGTTCATGGAGTTGTTAATGATTTATTAGACCTCAGTATGTTGACATATCAAGATCCACTACCTGGTAGATAGTATTTTGCCAACTTTTACTGGAAAAGAAAACAGGACAAGAAATCTGCATCATATTCAAGTAAATAAAACAAATTTCAAACTTGAGATTGGTAGCCAAAGTGCGTCATTGTGTAGGGAGTATTTTTTTCCTTTCACCTATAGCCATTAATTGGTTAGTTAACATAATTGTCGCCATGGTTGTTCAAGTAGACCTGCTGTACTTGAGCAATATGCTATAACATGCTCATTCAAGAAATGCCCAATTTTAAAATTGTTCTGAACTCAGAAGGTGTTATGATCCTTTAATTTGCATGTTCCTCCTGTTCTTTTTTGTGCTCCAAGATAGCTGCAGGAATTTATTAGAACTTTATTGATCCTTGTGTGGCAGCTATATATCGTTGGAGTGCCTGCAGATGCTCGTAAAAAAAAGACTCGGATAATTGAGGATGATTGGTGTCCAATTTGGGATGAAGAGTTTAATTTCCCTTTGACAGTGCCAGAGCTGGCTTTGCTTCGAATTGAAGTACGAGAATATGACATGTCGGAGAAGGATGATTTTGGCGGACAGACATGTTTGCCTGTCTCAGAGTTGAGACCAGGGATCAGATCAGTCGCTCTCTATGATAAGAAGGGTCAAAAAATGAAATCTGTCAAACTTCTTATGCGATTTCAATTTGTGTGAACTGTGAAAAACTTTTATTCTTTTTTCTTTGTAGGATTTTCTCTTGTAGACACATGCTTAATTTGATTGTATCTAAACGTCCAGCTCTTGTACAGTGGGAGTGATGATGCTGTATTAGGAAGGGAAATAAATTAAGCTTGAGGGATGAAGTTATGGGCTTGTGAGTTTGTGACATTTGTTTTGTACTCTTGTTAACATTGATATATATTCAGGTATCAAAATGAGGCAGAAAATACAGATTACCTCTTTCCTTTTCTTCATCTCAACAGAATTGTGTTTTCACTATCATGTTCAATGTACAAAGAAGCTCAAACTAAACGGGAAAAAAAACTGCCTATCAGAATACTTGAGATTATATTTTAGTATTCTTTTTAACATCTCTGTTGCTCTAACTCTTCAAGAATCTCGCTGAGTATGCATTGCATCCTCCAATAGTAATGCCATTTTGGAGGATTTATTTTTGGAAAGTTCGAATAATCATATCATATCATTTGTCATATTTTGCTCAGCAACACCTTGATAGGTAAATTAATTTCTTTTTCATTTTCTCATATCTTCTACCATATAGAGGCTTGTATTTATGGTACAAATGTGTACTATAATATTAACTTTCTGCAAAAGAACCATTAGAATTAGTTTATAGTCTATTTGCCAACGGAAGGCTTTATTGTTTTTCAATTGATTAATCCCTAGAGGTTCTGTCTATTCTACAATATTTTCTTTTTAAACAAAAGATAGAAGTTTAACAAGAAAGTGTAGTGATATATATTCATTTGTAATAGGAGTAGTACGATTTTTTCTCTTATTTTTTATATCTCAAATACAAAAATAATGTGATTGTTGGGACGTCGAATACACTAATTTTTACAACATGCACGTCTGTATTCATTGTCTTCTAACTAGATGTAATTTCTGGCTTGTGTAGATAGAATTGTTTCTGCTTTGTTTGAGATGTACTGCAAAGTGAGACTTTTATTGAGTCTTAATTTGTATTGTCCTATGTTTTTCTCATTATTATGTTGAACAATTTCTCCGTCATTATTTTTCTTTATTTTCATTTGTTTTCTTTGGTTGGTTAAAGTATATATATATAGATTGGTGTTTTTGTTTGCACTACGCAGCTAAAAGATTAAAAAGTACTTTACGTTGATTTGATAAGGTACTAAATTTTAAAATGATAAAAGTGAATTGAAATTGCTGGAATATAGTTGTATACGGGTGAAATCGAGCTCACGGTGCATCCCAACTTCCGACAAGATAAGTGTAACGACCCGACCAGTCGTTTTGAGTATTGAAACCCCGTTTCCCAATTTACTGCTTAAATTGGGCTTTACAGTTGTTGTGTGACTTGCCGGGGCAATTGGTTCAGGTCCGGTGAGGTTTTGGAATGAATTGGAACACTTAGTTCCAAAGGTTTAAAGCTTAAGTTAAAATAGTGACCGGATGTCGACTTATGTGTAAGCGACCTCGGAATTTAATTCTGATGATTCCAATAGCTCCGTATGGTGATTTTGGACTTAGGAGCGTGTCCGAAAAATTATTTGGAGGACCGTAGTGGAATTAGGCCTGAAATGCCGAAAGTTGAATTTTTGAAAAGTTTGACCGGGGGTTGACTTTTTGATATCGAGGTCGGAATCCGATTCTGAAAATTGAAATAGCTTCATTATGTCATTTATGACTTGTGCGCAAAATTTGAAGTCATTCCGAATTGATTTGATGTATTTCGGCACAAGATATAGAATTTGAAAGTTCAAAGTTCATTAGGCTTGAATTGGGGCATGATTCGTGGTTTTAGTGTTGTTTGATGTGATTCGAGGCTTCGACTAAGTTCGTATGATATTTTAGGACTTATTGGTATATTTGGTTGAGGTCCCGAGGGGCTCGGGTGAGTTTCGGAGTGGTTTCGGACCATTCTTAGTTACTGATTTTTGGCCACAGAGGTATGCATCGCGATCGCGGACAAATGGTCGCGATCACGAAGAGCAATTTTGCTGTTTGGGCACTGTGAATCGCGATCGCGTAGAGAAAAATCCTGCTGCACTAACCCAATTTTGGAAGCATATATCTCGCAATCTATAGGGAATTTGGAAATGATCCAAAAATAAAAATTGTAGTCCTTGATGTCTAGTTTTCAGAAATATAAACCATTTATCATTTGGAGTTGTGTACAAAAAGATACGGTAGATATACTATAGGCTGTCCGGGAGGAGTTTGGAAATCTCTGTTGTACACGGCTGACTTTGGAAGCTTATATCTAGAAATCTGTAAGGAATTGGGAGATGAGAAACAAATTAAAGTTATAGTCCTTGGTGTCTAGTATTCAGAAAGTTAAAACATTTGCTATTTGGAGTTTTGTACGAAAAGTTATGACTATTGAACTAGAGGCTGTCTGGAAGTGTTGGGAATTTGTTCTTCGCGATCGCGAAAGGCAAATTTTGGGCTGAAAATTTTTGTGCTTCGCGATCGCGAAGATTTTCCATGATCGCGAAGAGTAAATGCCTGGACAGAAGATATATTTTGAGATTTCGGCCATTTTAACACATTTGGAGCTATGGAGCAAGGATTGAAGCGATTTTTGAGGCGATTTTCACCATATGGATCGGGGTAAGTGATTCTAACTCGGTTTTGATTAAATTACACGAATCTATTATTGTTTTTATTAAAAAAAAATATAGTATTTTGGGTTGAAAATAGTAGAAAAATTCATAGACTTTAATTGAGGATTTGAAGGCCGAGTTGTGGTCGGATTTGAGTAATTTTGGTATGGTTGGACTCGTGGTTGAATGAGGATTCGGATTTTGTGAGTTTTATCGGATTATGAGACGTGACCCTACGGGTAAATTTTGGGGCGTAGTTTCGGATTTTTTGGAAAATATTAGTATTTTGATATGGAATTAATTCCTATAATTTTTGTGAGCTGAATCAAATTAATTGTGACTAGATTAGAGCCGTTTGGAAGTTATACGCGCAGAATGAAATTTTGGAGCATTGCTTAGCTTGCTCGACATTGGATTTGGCTTGTTCGAGGTAAGTAACTCTTCTAATCTTGGAGTTGAGGGTATGAACCCTGAATATATGTATTTCGTGAATTGTTGGGAGGTGACGCACATGCTAGGTGACGGGCGTGTAGGCGTGCACTATAGAAATTGTGGCATAATTGTTTCTGTAGAATTTTGTAGTTAAATGATCTTGGCATTTTCCATGCGATTTTATGAGTTAAAGAAATTGAGCTGAAAACATATTAAAAATCATATTGAGGCTATGTGCCAGTATTATTGGGACTCACAGAGGTCATATTATTGTGAAATATTTATTTTAAAATGAAAATTCATACTCAGTCATATTCATTTCATTGCATATCATATCCCAGTCTCTATTGTTATTTATTGATACATCATATCATCATTTTTTGGGGGCTATTCTCATGACATTGTGAGCCCATGAAAGAGAGACTAGAGAGATTGATGACTGAGGGAGGCCGAGGGCTTGATTGTGAGGATATTTTTGGGATTGGGCCGTATGCTGCAGCAGGCCATGTTGGCTTTATATATATATATTATA